ATTGAATTTTGTCCACATTATGTTTATTGTTGACTGATGCACACTGTGACGAAGGTAACTTCGTCACAGTGGACTGACAGCACTTTAGTGAACAGTTTTGCACTTTATTAGCGTGATTGCACAGTACCGTTTGGCATGGCATATTTGCACATTTTATATAATTTATACTAATTATTGAGATGGTATGTATTAAAGTATTAAACCGTATTGATTGAAATGTCGTCTGGGGTGTTGGTCGGGTCCTCGGCTCCGCCTGACAAGATAGGGGAGTTAGCGAGAGCGCCGAAAGTGCTTATGCTAGAATGACAGCGGTTAAGAATAATCCGGGTGCAAAAAAAATGTGAGGGTGTAGAAATCATAGCGTTAAGTGGCATTAATTGTAAAAGTGCTGACTGCGTTTAGTTGGAGTTTGTATGTATGTAATTCTGTTCAGTTATGTGTTTGAAAAGTGTTCCCCCTCCCGTTATGTCTGTTGCTGGATTGTGTGCACCTGGTGCCCGGTGTTGTCTCCCCCCCTCACCTGTGTCTAGTTGCAGATTAGTGTGTCTGTGGGTATTTAGGCTCTGTTTCCCTGTCTGTTAGAGGCAGGGAGTGTGTGTGAGATCCTGGTGGCTGCAGGCTGGGCTCACGTGAACAGCAGCAGCAGATTGAGGCTGTGTGTAATGTGTTCATGTTTTAATAAATGCCCACACCGGGTTATAATGTTGGACATTCTGCCTCTGCCTCCTTGCTTGGTCGGGCCGCTCAATTGTAAGCTTCACACACCCCTTATTGGCCTTTTGGGATATTTGTCTAAATTCAGTCCATGAGTATTAAGCCATTGGATGGAGGGTGGTGGTTGTTAGGGAAACAAGAGGTAGAGATACATGGATTATATTCATGAGATTATTAGTTTGTATTTATGTAAAATTATTTCAATTTCTCCTTTTACAACTAAGTTTTTCATGTGTTTTTGCCACTTGTTATGAGTGGTCAGATCAACGCGCCTCCACATTAGTCGTCCATTTAGTCAGCTGTTTATTTAAAAGGAAAAGGATTCATAGCCTTATGGCGTATCATAGGTAGCTTGTGTTTCATGCAGGTGAAAAATGTTTGCCCTTCCACTCTTATGGCGCTTTTCCACTGCAGCTTTTTTTGCTTTGCCATTGCCACTACAGACGTTACTCAATCTCGTTGCGGATGAAAAAATACAGCGGGGAGCTCGACGGCGCAACACGAAACGAAGCCTGGACTCGGCAACAGATGCAGGATGGTTACGTTTTTGCTAACGCTCTGTTCTTTGCTTGAAAGCGCTGTGTCGCTATCTATTGTAAAGCTCATTTCTAACAAACAAACCTATTTTATCCAACCCATGCTTTTATGGAGCCCCGAAGAGCTATGGTTAGCACAGATAGCATTAGCTAGAGCTATTGTTTGCCAACACCATATGCACCATTGTTTACGTCCAGTTTTCTAGAGTTGTTGTTGCTATTTAGTATTGTGCTGCAGTAGTTTGTGGAATTAACAAGTCCTGTATGCTGTTCTAGATGCCGTTGTGATTAGCGAGGAGGAGTCCCATACAACGAGTGATGGCAGTGCTCCAGAGCACCTTTAGCCTCGAGCACCAGCAACGCAGACAGCCAGCATGTGGTTCTAGGTACGAAATAGGCATGGCAAAACGACTGGAATACCACTGTGTGGAAATGCTCTGTTACAAGTCAAGTAACGTACCAAAAGTAAAAGTACACTCTAAAAAGAAATACACCAGCTCTACTCAAATAAATTGAGGTAACAATTTGTTAAGAATGTCACAAGGCTCAGGACCCAAACGCACAACACCAGAAACAGATCAGGATTAACAAGGTCTTTTAATTAAGGTCAGAACACAAAACGCTCACTTGGAGGATCAAAACTCAAAAATATACTTAACACGATCAAGGAATGACTGGCAGGCTTGACGAGACAAGACGAACTGGCACAGGACAAAGGGAGACGCAGACTATATATACACACTAGGTAAGGGGACACAGGTGGCAACAATTAAGGGGGGCTGACAATCACACTGGAGGGAAAAAACACACAAGGGCAGGAATGCTCTGAAACGAGAGGGAAAGGTTACTACAAAATAAAACAGGAAATCACAAGACAAGGCAAAAGACAAAAGGACTGAACTAAATAAATTAACTTAACACAAATGTCCAGACACAACACAATTTGCGTCGATCTTTTTAGTATTTAAAACTTAGTTCAGAACTAAACATAAATTGCTTCCACCTTTAAAAACTAAATTAAATTGAACCAAATTAATTTTAATAGTAAAGATGGAGTGATATTAAGTTGCATTTTGTTTAATTTAAGCTATTGTAATTTATTTATTTAAATCCATACTACTCAAAAATGTCCATGCAAATTGTTACCTTAATTTGTTTGAGTATTAGAAACTCATTTATTTGAGTCAAAAACAACATAAACATTTAAGTTCCACTTAACAGTTTATTTTAAAATGTTCTTTACACAATGACCTATTTATAACAAATGTTCTCAAATATGAAAAAAAAGTAAATACAAAAATTAAAATAATGGCATGAACCTGCTTCCAACGTTTTTAACATCTCTTTTAGGTAGTTCAGGTTGAGTGTGTATATTAGCCTGATCAGCATGGCACAGGCTCTTGGGGCATCCGAGATTTGAAGGACTTTTGTTCATTTAAAGGAATGCTCCACTCATTAGATAATTAATCAAAACTTCAGTATTTAGTGAAACATTATGTTTAAACCATACCCTGAAGAAATCAGCGATATTCCCCGGTAAATAATGATTTTATAGCTCTTTTTTATCAAAACCTGTATATTCCGTCAGGCCGCTGCCATTTTGCCCATTTTCAGTAGTCACGTGATGGTCGTGACGTCATCCATGCGTTCACTTTGTAAACACACGAAAACATGGCGGAGTATTTGAGTTCGGACTCGTCAGCCGAGGAAGAAGTTTTGAGCAATATGAAGAGATTGGATGGGGGAATTCAGCCATACAGGTTCGAGCCATATGCAGTAGACCATTGTGATGTCCAGCATTGTAACCTGTGACAAAATACGGCTACTCATATTCAAAGAATACATTATAGTATTAATCAGAGCACTCATAAGACCTTATTATCAATAACAGAGCATTACTTCTGGGCTGCTGTGGCGCAGTTGACTAGTGCGTTGGTGTTTGGATCAGGTGAGCACATGTTCAAACCCCACTGCAGTCAGCATGTCGTTGTGTCCCTGAGACACTTCACCCCAAATTGCTCCTGTGGGGATTGCCCACAGTATTTAGTATTTAAGTCGCTTTGGATAAAAGTGTCTAACATGTAATAATTACCTATGTTTTGAGTTTAAAAGATTATCTAATTTAGAATCCACAGAAAATGTACTGATGTTCTGTCAAGTGCTATGTGCCTCGGGCTAGCTTAAGCTTTTTACCTCTTTAGTTACATGTGATGGCTTCACTTTCATATTGTTTTTATAATAGCATTACTTATCCCCAGGTCTCACCCATCTCCTATGCCATATTTGAAACATATATTGTAGGGCCATACCTATATAAAGTATATAAATATATATATTTTTTCAAAATACCAAACAGATCCTGCATTTTAGCCATGCCTCATTTCGCTCTATTTGCTCTTTCCAGCGCTGTTTTTGCAGGGGGCTGATTCTGTGAGCTGCAACTAACCACGCCCCCCTGCAGGAGAGGGGAGTTGGCAGTTACTTTGGCATTAGGGCAGGGGTATCTAGATACTTTCCAAGGTTTGACATCATGAATTGTGCTACTTTTAAAGCAAGCAACGATGTTTTAAAATCTGTAATCAAAAAGCTCCTCAAAAACACTATCGAAGCAGTTCCTGCCGTTGCTACGTTAGTTCAAACAGTAACAACGGACAATGTTTCTTAGCGGATGCATGTCAATTTAAATCAATACATACAACTATTTTTTAAATCAATAAAATAATTTTCTAAATCCATAAAAGCATTTCAATTCATATTGGGAGTCATATCGTTACTTTGTTGAGAATGTGGCCATGTAATAAGCGGGATAATGTGCAGCGACTTGGTCATTATGGGGAAAATAACACCGACAGGCTGATCAGGAGCCCAACGCGAAGGTTTAAGATTAAAGGTTTATTAACCTTTAATAAATATATATATATATTGCATTTTAAGAAAGGATTTGATTACAAGGAGTACATAACAACATAAATACTTAGATACATTAAATAACTACATAACAATCCACAAATCAGGAAAAGAGAAGAAAGAAAAAGAGAGAGAAAGGGTGAAAAACAAGGTATAGTTTACACATAATGGACACTACATTAATATTGTAATGCCTAAACACACTGCTGATCCATCTATCTATCTATCTATCTATCTATCTATCTATCTATCTATCTATCTATCTATCTATCTATCTATCTATCTATCTATCCTACATACATTATTTGTGACATCTTACCACCTGATCAATATAAGGGTTTTGTGTTCTATAACTCACCCTTTTTCTAATATTGCATCAAAGATATGAACTTGGTTTCTGATTCTCATTGTTATTTTATTTTTTTCCATTCCATAAATCTCCTTCACTAGATACTTCCATTGTGAGTTAATGAAGCGATTAAGTAATTACATTTTAAACAAATCCTTGTTATTTGTTTAATAATTGCTATTCTTAAAACAAGAAATGAGTACGATTTTTCTTTTAATTCCCTCTGGTGTTTTCCCCATTAATAAAGTGTGTGGGTTCTTGTTTAGAGACATTTCTCTTGTGTTTCCCAGAAGCCACACAAAACATTTTAAGACAAGAATATATGACAATGGTTTGCCTTCTTCTCACTGTATTCTGTACAGCATTTTGAAGTAGACTTAATGGTATGAAAAGATGCAATTAAGTATTCTAAAATAACATCGACAAAATCGACAAAACCAAACCAATCCGGATATCCGGTTGTAACGGAAGGCCGGCTTCTCTCCATCCAGAGAAATGGCCGTTCTCATTCTTACAAACACACTAGCAACATATCTTGACGTTTAGCAGCTAATGCGTTCCAGGGACTGAACTTCTCTACCGAGACTCGACTCGCCGCTTCACCGTGTTGTGCTGTACAATACCGTGAATATAAATGTTGAGTTTTAGGTAAAGTATTTTCCTTAGGAAGGCTAGTTCTGCTGTTAGCTACCTGCCAGCCTGCTAGCGTTAGCCCGTTAGCTGCCGAACCACTGGTCATCCTACTCTGCTCGGTATAGTCTGTTAATGGGAAATAAATAGGACCTGAACCACAAGAGGACCGCCTTCCCGTTTTAATAGGAGAGTTAAATCACCGGGTAACCCCGAGACTAAATGCCCGAACAAGGTCCCAGGATGAATGGCTTTTCTCTTGGCGAGCTGTGCTGGTTGTTCTGCTGTCCGCCCTGTCCGAGTCGCATCGCGGCCAAGCTAGCTTTCCTCCCCCCGGAGCCCACGTACTCGGTGCACACGGACACTGAAGGGGAAACTAGCTTACATCTAACCGAGCGGGCGGACTGGCAGTATTCTCAGCGGGAGCTCGATGCGGTGGAGGTGTTTACCACCAGAAGCAGCCGGGGTAACCGGGTCGGGTGCATGTTTGTGCGGTGCGCCCCGAACAGTCGCTACACGCTGCTGTTCTCCCATGGCAACGCCGTGGACCTCGGGCAGATGTGCAGCTTTTACATCGGCCTCGGCTCCAGAATCAACTGCAACGTGTTCTCCTACGATTACTCAGGCTACGGAGTCAGTACAGGGAAGCCTTCTGAGAAGAACCTGTATGCGGACATCGAGGCGGCCTGGCAGGTCCTGAGGAACAAGTGAGTATGAACCATGTGTGTGGTGCACGAGCAAATGTCCTCCTTTAGTGTACTGTTCATGCAATACGCTACCCCCTTTACATGCTTATATTGATGAAGATATAAACTAAACTAGGCTCAGATCCCATCCAAACAGTCAACCATTGACATAGTGATGTTGGTTTTCAATGTAGTGACTCCCAGGGTCATGTGGTCAAATTTGGGCTATATGACAAATTGTGGTTTGCACACACTTTCAGGGCTTACATTTAGCACAGACTAATTGCTAGAAAGCTTTATATCTCTGTGGCAAAAAGTCTAAATCATCCATCACTATGTAAAGGCGCTGATGGCAGTTCACTGCTGAGCTGATATGGTGCGATGATATGCGGCGAAAAAAGAAAAAAAAAGAAGGTTTTAACAACATGTTTATTTATTGACTTTTCATTCCGCTATAATCATTTTTGCGCAAAGATGGCGCTGTTTGTCAGAGCACTTCATCCTTCTGGGATTTCATGAAGAACAGCTCCAACGCCTGTGTGTATGGGAAGCTCTGGTGCTGGCCCATTAACTGCCAGTGTTTCCCACAGATCTGAAATATACTTTGGGGGGTGGGGGGGGGGGTGTGAGGTGACGTGCAACAACATTAACATTAACCTTTCTGTTGGTCGCTTGTTAGCAGACCCTTCACGCGATGGCCGAGCGAACAGGTACAGGCAGGGTCCATAATGATAGCCCTATAGTTTAAATCTACTACCCACACATGAACATATGGAAATGAGTTACTATTTTAAAAAATAAATGTATTTATTAATGTATTTAGGAGCCTATCCATGTGATTTTTAGTGGGGTGGACCTCAAATCCTCTGGGGGGGTCCAGGGGCATGCCCCCCCGGTAAGATTTAATTTTTATTTTGGAGTTAAATGCATCAATCTGGTGCATTTTGAGGGGAAAATAAAGAGACTAGATCTATGGAAACACCTATATGAAACAGAACTGTATACATTTCAATAATCATAAAATCAAGGCCATAACCAATAACATACCATTTCCAATAAAAAAAACACTGAAACTTGTTTATTAATTTGTTTTGGTTCATTTATAGTTGTGAGTGTGTCTGTGCTCCTGAATCAGCCTCTCCTGTCTCCCTCCTCTCCCCCCTCTCCCTCCTCTCCCCCTGCTCCTCTTTGAGGCAGCAGCAAAGACTAGTTTTCTCTCAACAAGTTTTAAAATGGTATCTTACCTTTTTTCACCTAATTAACTTTTTATTTATTTATTCATGCATATTTTACTAATCACATTACATTTAATTTAGCTGACGCTTTTATCCAAAGCGACTTATAATGACCGATTACAGGGACATTCTCCCTGGAGTAACTAAGGGCTAAGTGCCTTACTCAAGGGCACACTAGTGGTGGTGTTCCTGGCGGGATTTGAACTCACAGCCTTCCGATCTTCAGCCCACCTCACTATCCATTAGACCAATCACTACCCTCTCAAATGGAAATATGTGTTTACATAAATGGTGACCACACCGT